TTTTAATGCTCAACAGAACTTAAACTGGCTTTTAGAAAGTTCTTATTCTGAAAACTCGTCACATGTAATCAGTACATGCAGTACGTGTGTAGGATTTGAAAATGGGTTTCTAAAAGTGGTAGTAGTATACATAAAAGTCTGCTTTTGTTTTTTCTCAATCACCTGGACTCACATTGCAGCTTCATCAAATTGAGCCATTATCAGCAACTCAGTACTTCTGTCTACTCATGTTGACTCGGACATGCTAATCTATTTATTTTGTAAATATCTCATTTGTGTAGGAATTTCCTGTTTTATATCTTTTATTAATATGTCTAGCCTTAAAATTCCTTTTGTATTTTTTATTCAGTTGTCATGTGATATCATATTCTGTTTTTGTACTAAATAAATATTTAGTCCATTAAAAAAATAGTTGTGACACATTACAATAAACTATTTTATTCCTACTTAAGTTATGCAAAGTAAAAAGGAATTTGTGAATGAGATATTACCTGATATAATCAGAAGAAATATTTTATGCATATAAAAATATATACAAGGCTTTTCTACCTTCACCAATGTAGGGAATGGGGAGTTACTTAGCAATAAACCCATGAAATATTTTCACAAATGGAACAGATAAATATGTACATGATAAAATAAAATAAAAAATAGCACATAAGCTCTAAAATATATGAGGTTTTTCTGCTTTCATCTTGGCACCAAATAGAGGGTTAATTAATAGTAAAAATCATTTGCAGTTGGGTGATTTTTGTAAAACTCATTAATATCAATGTAAGGATGAAACAAAATATGGTTTTATTCAAAATATTCAGACTGCCCAATGCCATCATGGATTCTGCACATTTTCAAGAAAGTTGTTATCTCAAATTTTTTATCATCAATGTCTTTACAAAGGCAATCTATCCAAAAGCTGAATTCAGTGCTTCCTGTTTGATTTACAATGTATGCATAATACAAAAGTGAATGCTTACTTTTTGTCCATCTTTATGCAATTATGGTTGCTTTTTTATGTGTTTTGGTGTGGTTTGAATGAATATGAGTGTGTATTTCTTCACATTTTTTTTATTTTTGAAAGACTTTAGTTTGAATTAATTCTTAAATATGGTTATTTAAAAATAAAAATATTATTGAAATTTTCACCCAAGCTCCTATTTTAGAGCCAATTCACTTGCTTCCATTTTAAAACTTGATTTTTTCCAAAAGAAATGAAGGTCATTTCTGGATAAAGCAGATATAATGAAATAAGAAATATACATTTACTTACAAAAATATACTTGTTATCTAAACTAAATCTTATCTCATGTTTTATGGCTATGCATATACTTTTTTTAAAATATGTTCTACTTATTTGAGCATTTTTATGAATTATAAAATGTTAGTGAATGAAGAAAACTCACCCTCCCTCAATTCAATGCCATTTGAAGATTTTATTTCTTATCCCATTTCTATTTTTGTTGAGAGGGTGTAAAACAAGAATTTGTCTTCTCATTGAACTTATTCAACCACTAAAGAGATAGAAAAATAAATAAATAAAAATAAATAACAAGAAGACCCCAATTTCACCATCTCTAAAAGTAGATGTATAATAAAAATCACCAGGCAAACAAAGCCATAGTTCAACCAACAAATCAGAAAGATTATATAACCGTGATGTAAAAAAATAATCAAATAATAACAAGGAGCCCAAAATTTCACCATCTCTAAAAATAGTTAATTTGACCAACCAACCAGAAAGTTTTCACAACCAGGATATAAGGCCGCAAGCAAATGAGAAGTGAGCGGCATTTTCAAAGTGGATCTATAGATGTGTATATAAACAGGTAGAAAATCAACCAAAATCAAAGTCAATAAATTCATTTTGTTCCACTGTCATTGTAACATACACTGAGATGAAATACAACATTTGCACGACTAACTGGTAAACTTGCACAGCTAAACCATTTTTGATACATTATAAACAAACAAACCTTCCTTCAGCACATATGTCAAGCAGTGTCTATTACATTTGTATATATATATATATATATATATATATATATATATATATATATATATATATATATATATTCTTCCACCAGGACTTCTCTTTCTCTCTATCTCTTATATGCATCAAGACTTTTACACTTGAACTCTTGAAACTTCAACTTTCACCTTATCATTCTGTATTATATTGTGTATATAAAGGCTTATTTTGGATTTATCAATACTTTGTGCATTTCCTTTTAATCATTACCTAAGGCCAATATGCATACAAATCAATTATACCTTATATATGGATGTAATGGACGATGTTATAAGATAAACAATTTATCCACAGCTGACAACCTTGTAAGTCCCATAAGGTGATCCTAAGAGAATAAGAAGTCTGCCAGGATTCATTTTTGGCAACCACAATCTTACCAACATTAGATATGAAGATGACACAGTGTTGATAGCAGATGCAGAAAGGAGAGTACAGAGACTCCTACAGAATGTAGTAAAGGAAATCTAGAAGAAAGGGCTAAATGTTAATTGTAAGAAGAGAGAATGTATGGTTGTCCGCAAAAGAGCTCAAGATGTGAACCATGAATGGAGACACTGAAATCAAGTAAGTACAACAATTTAAATATCTAGGAAGTATTTTGACAAAAGATAGAAAGTGTGACATTGAAATCAGAAGGCACATTGGGATATCGAAAGATACCTTCCAAAAGCTAAGCAAATTATTATGAAACATGAAAATTTCATTAGAAACAAAGAAAAGAGGACTGAACAGTTACGTAATATCGGCCTACCTATATGCCAATTAATGCTGAACAACTTCCTCATAGATGAAGAAGAGATTTGGTGCATCAGAAATGTGGCTCTACAGAAGGATGCTGAGAATACCATGAACATGAATAATGACAAAATTTTAGGAAAAATGGAAACAAAAAGGACACTTATATTTAGAATCAGAAAAAGACTTTTGAAATTTCTAGGGAACATAATGAGGAAAGAAGGCTTAGAGAATTTGATACTCACAGGGCATATTGAAGACAAGAGGGAGAGAGGAAAGCAGTGAATAACCTACCTAATGATCTTGTATAAATAGTTGGTAGAACAAGCTTTAGGAGAGATAGTAAAAAGATTTATCAAGATCTACAAAATATGGGAAATTGTAGAGTGTCATGATCATCAACGTCCTTAAGGAACATGGCATATAGAGGAAGAACGTTTCTTATCCTAAAATAATTGCAAATGAATTTCATTTTAACATTGTTTTTCAAAGGAAATAAAAATAAATGAAAATTTGCTATTCATTTTTAATCATTAGAAAAATATCTGACTTGAAAAATAAAAGGTTAACATTTTTAAGTTTTTTGTTTATTTGAAAAGCATTTTTTTATTTTTCAGATTAGAATATTTGGAAGAGGAACAAAATTGGCATTTTCTCCTTACAGAGATTCCTTATTTTGAAAATGCCTGCATCTGTAATTTCATGAAAAGAATTTAAAGAACCATTTTGGATAATTTACTCATTTTGCATCTCAAACTACTGACATTATTTTGCAATTATCATTCGTTAAACATGAGACAACTGATTAATTTTGTCTTGACCTAAGTTAATTGCATTAATTGTAAAAGAAAACTTAATCTAATCAGTTTTCATTTAATGGCACAACCTTCAAGTTAAACCACAATCCTAACCCTGAGCTAGTATGATGGAATCACCTAAAAACATTAATCCCAACCGAAACAAAACAATGGTGAACTTTTTTAAAACAGAAAAAATTTCCTTTCCTAAAAACATATATTTTCAGAAAAGTTTATTAGTTCATCATGTTCAATTTAGCACCAAAATATTTTGTTTGGTAAAATTAAAGGATAAATTCCTGTATTGACATTAATTTTTGCAGCCAATTGTTCAATGGTACCTTTACACTGTTATGCCATTTTGCTAAACCAATTTTTAATCTTGAGTCTTTTTACTTGCAGTTTCTTTTTTTTCATGACCCACTCCCACCAAAATAAACCCTCTGATACACTTTTTTGGTTTCAAATATTGATATGAATTATCAGTATTATCGGTCGAGTTAGCTTGGACATTAATGAGTTTATCATGCCGACCATCACAGTCATACATAACGGTCATGCACCAAGGTCAGAAGTACATTGGGGAGGCATTGTTTATCAGAACATGGCTGGTCAATGTAGGTGGTTGCTGGGTGATCAACTTGTTTCACTCCATGGCTAGATGTCCAGAAGAGTAGAACACGTACAAGTTCTTGTTTTGCTCACTAGTAGTGTCCTTCAAAGTTCATTCTCCATTCACATTGTAGAAATATCAGGGATGGCTACACAGAGCTGTGATTTAGTTAGATATTGTCTCCATGAGATATTAAGTATAGCTCTCAGCATCCAAGTGTAGGTTCGATCAAGCTTAGACTGCAGGGTTTTAGTTAATGTCCAGGCTATGACACTACCTCTACAGTGGCTCGAAAGAATCTCCACTTGAGGTTGCCTGGCAGATCAGATTTCCAGATTACACCCATTTTAACAAAGGTGGCCCAGGTTTTGGATATACAAATTTTCACACCCTTTTAAGTAGAATTTATTTTACTTCCTAGGTATATAAAAGATTTGATAGATTATATTGATTCACCTAAGATAATTTGTATTGATCCTTGCTGGTTGAAGCCTATGAATTTAGTTTTAGAGGCATTGACAGTCCAACATAATTAGCAGCATTTGCTATATGGTGTAGGAATACTGTGGCATTGGTAATGGTCTCTGCAGTGATACCTAGGTCAATTGTATAGTCAATATTTGTCAACAATTTTTGCAGGATATTGACTTGAGAGTCTTGATGGTAAAGTATCACTCAGACCTAATATTCATTGGCTGTGAGGAAATATTAGGTTAGTTTGTGTGCATTTGATTATTGTGTCAGTTAATGTTGACTCTTTGGGCTTTTATCTCAAGGAATGCTGGGAACTTCTATTAAGTAAATTAGCAAAATCATTGTTTTCTTTCAGATCAAGTACCTGCGCAGATTTAGAAAACTGAAGATGATCAACCTCATAGGGAACCCATTTTGTGAAGAGGAGGATTACAAAAGCTTTATTGTGGCCTATTTGCCTTGGATTGATTATCTTGATTATGCAATGGTTAAAGAGGAATTTGTAAGTACAGCTTTCTTCATTCTTCATTTTGTGATCCTGAAAATCCTTTGTGTGATTATGTCCTTGTTTAAAAATTAATAGCGTGCACTGAGATATTGTTGATATGGAGATGGTAATCTATTCCATCAAGTGGAAGAATGCAATTGTGTAAGTCAGTGAGAATCCATGAGTGCAAACAATGTATTGGGTTGAATTGATTGATTTGTTTGTTTAATGGTATATCAACATCCTTATGGGTTATTTAATGATGAAATTTAATTTTCTTGGGAGCTTTGAAGTAATAAAAATATGATGTTATTCTGCATTCACAGTTGAATACATGGTAGATGATACTCAGCTTTTGTGTATATACATGTTTGTGTGGATATAACTAATAGAGGTGGTGATATGTGTGCTTCATGTTGTAGTTATATTTTGGAATACAGTTTCATTTAAGACATTGTAGTATATTATATGGATTAATGTCATGAAAGAGTTCTTTTATGTTGGTTGTTTGGTTGATTTTGTTTAGTGGCATATCAACACCTCTATGGGTTATTTAATGCTGAAATCTAAATATTTGAACACATTTGTATGCCATCAACTACAGATAAAATATATTGTTGGTAATTTTACTATCAATAGGTGTTGGTGGTAATTTTTTTTTATATAAAAAGGTATTGCTGGTATTTTTACTATAACAATGTATTTTATAATTTTATAGTGTTTTGTTTTTGTTTGGGGATTCCCTATTTGCCCATAGCTGGGACCCTAATAGCTGCTACCACCCTGGGTCAGGATAGACAACAGCAATTAAGAGGTTGTCCCATGCTCCTCAAAACGTCCAATCTCTCAATCAGAGGCCTTGATTGTAGTTTATCATCATATCCAGGACAAGTATTGGGTTGGGAAAAATTTTCTAGCATTTTTCAGTAGGTAGTGTTTGAACATATAAGTTTGTTTTACATGAGACTGAAATTTTTGATTAGTCATTTGATGCTCTTTTATTTCCAGAAAGGAAAAAACACTTTACAAACAGTAAAATAGATATGTGTCATTTATAGAGATGGTGCCATAGCTGAGAGTACTCTTCATAATTGTTATTATTTATCCTGGTCTCTAGGGCAATGGGGGGGTGCAGCTGCAGGCAGATGTTTCCCAGGACCAGCACCTCACAGTATTTTATTTCCCCCAGAGCCAGAACGGAGAAGACAGACTGAGAGATGATTACACTCCTGGGCATGGGTGCCGCAGAGTCATTGATGATGATCAAATTGAAATGCTGATGAAAAGTAATCCAGGTCACACAACATGGGACATCACATTGATACTCCACATATGAGCATTGTAAGGCATTTGGAAATACTTAGATACATGAATCGCTACAATGTTTGGGGGTGTCATGATTAGGACAGAAAAAAATTAAGGGACTGCATTTCCATCTGCAATTTTCTGCTCAAACATAACAAAAATCAACCTACTTTTAAAAAGAACTATTGCAGTTAATGAAAAATGAATAGCTTACAACAATGTGAAGTGTAAAAGATGCTGGACAAAAATGAGATGAGCCACCATTACCCATTCTAAATGCCAACCTGCATCCAAAGAAGGTGGATGCTGTATATCTGGTAGGATTAGAAGGGCAACATGTCAAGTTCCCTCTGCAAAATCAGACGTTGAATTCAGACAAGTACTTTTCTCACTAATTAAAGGCAGCAGTCGGTGAAAATCAAATAGAATGATGTCATCTTCCATCAAAACAATACCAGACCTCATGTCCCTTTGCAAACTCAACAGAAATTAGTACAGCTTAGCTGGGATGTCCTGCTACATCTGCCATACTCACCTGACCTTGCAAATTTGTATTACCACTTATTTTGATCCCAGCAAAGATTGTAAAAACCACTTTAGACCAGTTCACCTCCCAGAAAGATGCCAAGTTGTGGAATCATGAAGCTGCTTTAAATATAGTGAAATCTTATGGTACAAAATGACATGTATATGGTCGAATAAATCTATATACAAATATCTAAATATTGTCTTTAAAATTCACTTAAAAACTGCTACAAGCATTTGTTCCAAACCAGTACAGAAATAGTATTTTTTGATGTTATGTTATTTATCATTATCTTCTTTCATGTAATTTAGAATAAATGAAAGAAAGAACTATTTATTTGAAGCAGTGAATAACATTTTGATTGGGTAAAATGCTTGCTTTCAGTAAAAAGAGAAGAAAGAATTGACAATTGTCATTTACATGTTTATTTAAGAGATACATGGTCAATCTGAAAATATTATTCCCTGTTTTATTATGTTGGTTCATAATAACAGATGCAGATGTTGGTGGCAGTAGAGGCTTGACCTTTCCACCAATAACCCATGAATTGTTTTTACCTTGTTACAAATAGCAGCTGAGTGACAGTCTGACAAAATGGTGTTTTACATCAAAGTGTATATGAAGCAGAGATATTGAATTCCTCTATGTGAGAAAAATTGCACTCACTGGCACTTATCACTTCTTGATAAACAGTTATGGAAACCAAACAGTCAATATAAACACAGTCAGTGGATTATTTGTTTCAGTAGTAGCAATAGCCATATTCTAAACATCTATGAAATGCTATTAAAAAATGACATCATGTTTTGTTGGCGAAAAGTTGCACTATCCAACAGTGCTCTTTGTATTTGTTGTATGTAACATTGTACACTGAACCAGCACTTGTTTGGGTTGTAGATGTTGTTTCTTGGGGTGACTGCTATGGATGAATGCAGAAAAAATAGTGTGATTGAAAAATGATCACATTTTCAAAACAATTGAATCATTCTGTTTTTTTTTATGTTTCAACAATGAGATGAGACAGCTGCTGGTAGATTTAAGAAAATGGGAAAAGTGATGAGTATCAGACAGGGTTCATTCCTCATAGTATTGACCAAGGCAGTCTGTTACTAGCTTGCAAAATGGTTCCTCTTTTATAGAGTTTGAACTCCTTCCTAACAACTTCATTAGAAAAAGTCATAAATCACAGCTTCCAACCCACACTTGTCCTAGACCAAAATATTTTGGTTGAGACTGGTTGGAGATAGATAAGAATGTCTATGTTTTAAGCCAAATTAAAGGGTCATTCTTCCACTTCCAGCTTGTCTAATGGGCATCATTATATATCCTTAAATATCTTTGTGGAGATAAACCTAAGGTATTACTTTTGGAGCATCCACTTTAGAAATTTTTTTTTCAAAAATCTAGTTGATATATTTTCTGTCTTTCTCACAGCCTTATACGTTTTACTTTTCAGAGACAGAGGGCCATTGAGTCATATCAAATTTCTTTAGATGATCTTACTGAGAAAGAGAAGAAAAAAGAAATATTAAAACAAAAAGAACATGAAATGCATGAAAATTATCTGCAACACAAGGTAAGAGTTTTGCCAAAAAATGAAAACAACCTTTTATAAAGGTTGTGTGGGAGGTGTATTAGATAGCAACTCAGAATGAGAAACTGGAGAGGTGAGTTCAAATTCCAGTCAGGTTTGTTAGATTCACTTACTTGCAAATACCCTTTGAAGGATTGAATGTTCAACTACTGATTATACCAGATTATGCATTCTATTCCAGAAATAGTAATTAAACCTTTGAGCCCTGCATTCCTGGACAATTTTAACCCTTCTGCTTACACTCCTGAGTCAAAATTCGCAAGTAATTGGTACATAATGTTTCACAGTAGACATAAAAAAATTTATAAGTGTTTACCCACCATTCAACTGGTAGCTGGGCATTAAGTCATGTTTCTCTACCACTGTTCAACCAGTGACTGGACATTACGTCATTTTTCTCTATCACCTGTAAAGTGGTGGTCAGGGCTCAAAGGGTTATGGTTCACCCAGCATAGTTGCCGTATAAACCACAGGTTGACTGGATGTTTTTGATGGAAACGTGACTGAGCAGGCATCTGCAGCAGGGACTAGATAGCTATTCTAGAAGACAGGCATATGCAGAAATCAGAAACCAACTATTAATTATTACAGAAACTGCTTTTTTCATATTAGCATTCGCCCAATACATGGCTTACTGAATGAGGTGCATGATATGGATGTAAGAGATGGTAGGAAGAGAATAAGGAGTGTAGATAATGACTGACTCTTGACTTTAAGAGGTTAAGGATGTAGTGCTTAGGGAAGCATCCTTGCAAGAGTCTGTCCCATAAAGTAGCAGTTGTTGGGGAAAAGCTGTCTGAGTGGCTCTTTGTCTTTGCAATACAGAGAAAATGAGGGTGATTCAACTCTGTGGAAGTAGTATAGTATCTCCTAGCTGTAAAGGTCTGAATTGGTGGAACTGAAGAATGGAGCACTCATCTAAACATTTGCCATAGAAATAGTGAGAGTATTGTGGTGTTGTGTCTGTGGAAAAAAGGTTGCAGAATGAAGTTGTTCCCTAATAAGACTGCATAAATACTTTTGAACTCTGTCAAGGCTGGAAAGAAATCACATGATATGAGCATATTTTGTTTTGGCTTCTCGTGGGGAGGGGGGATCCATTTAAAACAAATTTACTTAGCAAACTGGACCAACCTACAACCCTTTTTAAAATTTAATAAAAACATTTTATTTTGATATTCATGATCTGGAATGTTTAATCTATAGTCATATGTAGAAAAATTTTAAAAAAATGATCATTTCTGGTGCAGTGTTTTATTATACAACTCCAACCAGATTTTGATGTATGATGAAATCTGATTATATTGATTGATTTTCATCCATTTTTTTACAGCTTATCAACCCTTTGCATTTTACTTAAATACAGGAAATATTCTTAGATTGTAAGAATTTTTTATTTGTTTTTTTTTTTTTTAAATATAATAAGGGTTTAAGGATACAATTCTTACTAATTAACCCATAGCTGGGGGCACAAGAGGTGGATTCATACCTTTCTCTGGAGTATTCGCACATAAGAGAACATAACGAACCCAACTGGAATTTTAACTGAGCTCTCCGATTAACAATTTCTGAGCCATTATCCATTACACAACTTGCACATCCAAGCTTACAGGACCTGGTATTCCCAAGTGGTCACCCAGGCTCGACGTGCAGTAATTGTACAAGAACTAATGTTTCAACATGATGTGGCCGTAAGCCAAATCTGATTCTTGACCTAATCTCAAGAAGAAATGATAGCTAGTATCAGAAAGTATGGAAAAATAACAAAATTATATGAAGAGAATTCTAGAAGTTTCATTTCTCATTCTCTGAATGCTAGTGAAGTGCTTGTGTAATTTTTAAAAATCTACAAGAGCTTAAAATTCTGTTTTTGGAAAGGAAATTTGCATACACCAAATGTCATTATGCATTTCTTATTCTTATAATTTTCAATCTAGTTTTATCATGTAGCTTTCACTAGAAATCAAATGACAACAAATCTCTTCAGTACACCAGCACTCTACTCAGAGAGTGCTGGCGTACTAGCTGATTTTAGCAATGCTGTCATGTGGATGGTTTCCTTGCTTCCTCAAGTTTCCAATTCTTTGCATCTTTCTGTTTCACAAATTCTTTAGCTTGCTGACAAAGTTCAGCTATTTCTCTATGATTTCAGATTTAAAAATTTTTTTTCTGTAGTCTGCTGGAACAGCAACATCTCTTACCTGACAAATCTTCTGCTCTTTGTTCACAATGTTTAAAATCAGATTTTCTGGTTTTGATTGAGTGATCTGTTTGTATTCCAAAGTCTCAAGAGTTGTTTTCATTCTCTAGGACAGCAGCTTCTGTAGTCTTCAGCTTCTAGCACAATTCCCAATGGATCACCATTCCCACCCAATTGTGCCTATTTTTGGACTCCTCAGTAGATTTTCTGCATTTGCTGATTATATAATTGGTTTCATCACTGTCTTTGTACAAATCACATTTTTTATTCTTTTGTGTTTTGTTTTATTCTGAATAAGTTTATTCTACTATACTTATGAGCTGTTAGAGTGATTTCATTTCTTTCTTCATATATCCTCTGTGGAACCATGCTCATATCATTTCAGCAATGATTTAAATAAATCATTGCTGAAATGACATGTCTCTAGAAATCTCTATTATTATTATTATTATTAGTAGTAGTAGTAGTAGTAGTAGTAGTATTAGTAATATTCGTAGTAGTTTATGGCTAAAAATCAAGATATTTAAAAAGCCTCTCTGAGTGAAAAAATAAAATAGCATTTATTTTTTTTACTGGCATTATCTATTTCAGCTTGACTACCATTTACTGGGCATACAGTCCTGGAGGAAGGCAATGAATTGAATAAAACAGTTGATGAGATAGAATTAATAAAATAGACACATGTACAGCGCTGATAATTATGGCGGTAACAAATAAATTCAACGAAAAGCTAAGATTAACAACTAATAATTTAAATGAGATAACCTCACCTATTATTGTGCTAGATCAGCCTTCAATAGTGATTTTCCAAGCATAGCTTAGATGTGGCACAAGGCCGTAAGTAGGGGGCACCCAGTGAGGATCGAACTCACTACTCACTTGTAATTGTTCTAGCGAAACAAACTTGCTAACAATTACACCTCCTCGAGGTGCCCTAGATCAGCCTTCAATAAGCAGTTATATTCAACCTAATTAAAATTAATGGTAGATAAAGTAGTAACAATAGTCCAATTATGGTGATCCAATTATTCAATGAGGCTTGAGGTGTACTTGTCAAAATATTGTGATGAGGTTGCATCACTATTTTTGTCAATTAAGCTTATTCCATTTAGACAACTGTTTTATTCAAGTAATATACACCTCTGGTTTGAGTAAATTATAGTCAAATCTTCATTTAAAATAACTTTTAATTACTGGAAAATAGAAAAAGTGGTTTTGGGTATATTTTGGAGTCATGAAGTTCAGTTTATACTTGAAATTAAATACATATCTGATAAAAAAAACTTTACTTGGGATAAATGTTTTTTTTTATCTTAAAATGTGGAAGAGCTGCTAAAGGGTTTTAAGTTCCAGCTTAAGCTGATGAATCTTATCTTTGCTGAGGAGAAAGAAACCTGGACAGTGTCTCTTTGTAAAATAATATTTCTATAAAATAATAAATAAATACTAACTTAATTTTGATGATAAAATAAAAATTCCAAATTTAAACTAAAGTAAAAAAAGGCACATTTCCATTTGAGGCCAATTATATTTTGTCCAAATCTTTCTCATTAGTTAATTTTCAAACATAAAGAAGTAATAATTTATGTTATTCACACACAGACTAATATCCTCATCTTTATTGTTATTATCACAACATTTCAGTTGTTGTGCTCTCTGACCTTTTTCAGGTGTCTCTCAGACCTTTTTCAGGTGTCTCTCAGTCCAGTAACCTTCGGGGAATTTTGAACTGAACCCTTTATTCAATCTATAATTAGAAGACTGTTCATGTTCCACTGTCCATGTCTAGGGATGTTTTGTCCAGTTCTTATTTAATATTGCTCAGCAATTGCTCATCTTGTTTCCACTGAGCTCAATTTTGCACTGCCCAGACCAGAGATTGAACTCACAATTACTATATCAGCAAATGTGATAACAATAAGAAAGGACAATAATCTGCATGTAAATGATGAAAAAACTTCATCACAGAAATTAAGACAGAGATAAAGAAGTAACTCTGGAAAAAAATGGTAACAGAGAATCAGTTTTTAATTTATTAATAACAAGTTGCTAATATTTTATTAATATTTCTAATTATCAATTATCAACATGCATGTTTTATTAAGTTACTTTCATCCTTAATTGTTTCTTATTCTGATACTGTTATTAATTTTTAATTTAAATTACCTTTTGCCTCACAGTTGCAATTAAGGGGGTTGCTTGGAAAGAGAGAGGAAATATCTTGATCTTCTCCACTCTCCAAGGTCCACATTAGGCATTAATACAGCTATGATATACTAACAAATTAACATAGCAGAAGACATAGCTAAAATTGTGCTTGAAAACATATACATCACTAGAATATACAAATATGTCAGACAAAATGTTATATATAAACATACTAGCACTACATTATTTACATATAATACAGTAAATAATATACATAATACCTCATCTCAGAAATATAGACAGATAATAGCACTACTTAAATTAATTGGTCTGCTCGTAAAAAATAGTGATATTTTGGTGGTAAATTTTGTAGATTATCAGTCATTAGATTTTTCTCTACCTGCGGCATTTGTCAGAATTGGAAAATATTGTTTTTTTGATCATTTTTGAAATGGGGTGCTGTTCATGATATAAATACAGTGTGAAATTGATCCTTGATTTATTAATTTTTGTCTTCATTTTGTCTTTACTTACAAATGTCAAGTTTGAAATTGTGTTTATGTCATTGATAACGGCATGCTGCTGATATTGTTCTTTCTCCTAATTCAGCTATGAAGGATATAAGTGTAGTTTCAAACTTGACATTTGTAAATAAAAATAAAATTGCACATAACTCTTTAAGAGGACAGGGATTTATTTGATATTGTATTTATATTATTTTTTTTAGTGTTGCCTTGATAGTCATTTTGCTATAAAAATGTATTGTTGAACATTTTATTATAAAAATATACTGTTGATTTTTGTTTGGGGGTTCAATATTTGCCCATAGCTAGAACCCTAACAGGTGCTACCACCCTGAGTCAGGGTAGACCTGGGAACAACAGCAGTTAAGTGGTGGTTCCAAGCTCCTCAAAACTCCAATCTCTCGATCAGAGGCCTAGCTGCCGGATGTAGTTTATTGTCATACCCAGGATGAACACTTGAATGAAGTATATTATAAAAAAATGTAGTGCTTTTATAAAAGATTCTTTTTTGAAACAAAACTGACAGCTTCTGTTTGGAAAAGAACATTATATAACTGCTAGCATTTTTTTCTCTCCCCCATTTTGTGATATTTTGCCAAATTTACTTAACTTTGATCTCTTTTATTTCAGGTTATTTAGTGCTTTCTTTTCTTTGCCTTTCCCCAGAGAAGAATATCTGGTGAAGCTATTTTAGGGGAAGCATAATATGGACATTGTACATGAAACCTTTGAGAATTAGATCATAGCATGTTAGGAGAACATTGATTAACCCACAGTGAATTAACAGTGCAAGATTATTTCAAGATGTTTCTATTTATTAAAAAAATCAAATAGCAATTTTAAAACTTCATTTTTAATTCTATTTTACAAGACAACCATTGGGAAGAGAGATTTACTGTAAAAATATCTACAGATTAACATGTTTGTTTATGTGTGCATACCTATTACTGACACTATTCCAGCTCTAGTATAAAGTATCTTACTACCTTCTGATCCATAAATGATTTTATAGGAAATGAAAAAAAAAATAAAATGACCTTTCTCGTTTTAGAGAAATGGAATTTTTTTTTGGAGGTCAAAATTACTGTCAGAGATAAATGCTTGTTGTTATTTCCAATAATGACATAAATGTTTTTTTATGTAAAATTGCTTCCAAAGATACTTGTACCATACAGGTGTCTACTACAGACATCAGGAAGTGTTCTGTATTGCTTCTTTTAGTACAATGGGCATAGGTAGCCTTAGGATTGAGCAGTAAAGCTAAATTCATCTTTTTATTAATGTGCTTGATCATTCTTACTCAAGAATTCAATAACTCTACTGTAGTTACCTTCGCAGAAATGTGATGCCTAAGGTTTAAAATGAATTTTTACAAATGAAAAATCTTTCTTGAAGCTTTTTTTTTTACTTTTAATTTCAAGCTAATAGATTAAATTTAATTTTTCCAATAAGTAAAAACATTGCTGTATTTCAAAACTAATTTAAATTGACAGGAAGGTGTTTTCATTTTGAAAGTGCTAAAAATTGCTGTTTTTAGTGTCATTTTAGTCATCTGTCATTACAATGTAATTCTCTTTATTAAAGATATTTCAAAAATAAAATATACTTTTCTGAAACTTTATTTGAGGAATATCAGTTGATTTAAAGTTTAATTAATCTTATTTGAAACAAATATTACTTGCTTTAAGATTAAAATATTGCAGAAATGTATTATTTAACATGTCAGTAGGTGTTTATTTACTGTGTTAACAGCTTGCCTGATAGATGAAAGTTTATCTAATTTTTTTGTGGTGGATATATCTGTAAAAATTACTTGAAAAATATAACATGAACATATTTTTTATATAATTTTTAACTACTCAGTAATTTTTTAAAATGTAGTAAAATATTCTCTGTAATCTAATGTTTTATTGAATTTTAGGTACTTTGATTTTAAGTTTACTATAGTTATCACTCTTGTTTTCTGATAATGTTATGTATGGATGTCCATATTTACAAAAATTGGCATGTTTATACACACATACAAAACAAATTCAAAAGTTACTTAAAAATATTGGGATCGATGAATTGCATCAAATTTTTCCATTTATTATTAGTATATATAGTTTTTACTTAATAACAATATCACCTAACCATACAGATTAATACAGAAATTTAAAAGATTTACAACTTTATAAATTATTCCTATCAAAATTTTTAAAAATGAAAATAATTCTTGTAAAAATTCATTGAAAATTTTTTTTCTTAAGACTATAGTGTCCATAATATAGCTTATTCATAAAAGCAATTAAAAGCTTTTCTAATTAAATAATTCCTTAGTTTTATTGAATTTTTTATTTTATTATTCAGAGCAGATTTTTGGTAACTGGGGGGTCCTGTTTTGCAAAAAAGACAACCCCCCCCACAAAAAAAAACCCAAAAAACCCCCCAAAAACTGATGATTCAAATTCTTGAAGAATATAAACATTAAGTGGTACAAAAATTAATTTCTCAAAATTTCCTAAAATTAAATAAGTGGAGGTTAACAAATGTAAAATAAAATGTTTTTACCAAGATTTTCTAAAAACGAAACATTTCTAAAATTTTGTTATTCATTTGTGAATAAGTCCTGAAGGTTTAATTAAAATCTGACAATTATTTGATTTTTTGCAAGGATTTCCTCTAAAGATGCTAAAATTTCCTCTACTAATCTTTGTTCCCCTCCAACTGCTGAGGCAAGAAAGATAACATTTTTAACCAAAATTCTGAACGGTAAAGGGGAAAAAAAGCGTAAAAAAATGTAATTTAATAATCAAAAAATCCTTTGGTCTTTCCTTTTAATAATAACATAAAGATTTTGATGATAAAACTTTGTTTTTATTAAATTTGGGGCATTCTTTTCATCATAGTATGCTCTTTTTAGCAAATTAGCGGAGGTACTCATTTTTAAGGTAATGTTTCAGTTTTGTAGCAACTTGTGGTAAATTGATTGATTGATTCATTCATTTTCTATGGTTTATCAATTCTTTGCAGGTTATTTAAAGCCAGAAAATATTTTTAGATTGTGAGAATTTGGTGGGGGGAGATAATGATGGTTTAGTGATACAAGTTTTACTAATTAACCCATAGCTAGGAGAAAGAAAAGATAGCTTCATAACTTTCCCAAGGGTGTTTGCATGTATGTAAATATAACAAACCCAACTGGAATTTTAACTTAGTTCTTTGGTTAACAATTCTGAAAGCATTATTCATTACCCAACCTGCACATCCAAGCTTACAGCACCTGGTATTCCCAAGCAGCCACCCATCTAGGTGCTGACCAAGCTTGATATTGCTTAACTTTGGTGATCATACAGGAACCGGTGTTTCAATGTGATATGGCCATAACCCAACATATGGTAAATGAGGTGCTAATGGGTAAGGGGATGTAATTGATAGTTAATGTTATTAGTGAATTGTTTTGTCTCAAGGTTGTTGATAAGATCCAGAGACGGATATGCAATGTAATTGGCTCTGATATGGCATATTGTCTGCAGTTGCTCTCTCACAGACATTTCATCACCTCCTTCTGTCTTTTTTACAAATACTTTCATGGTAACTGCTCCGATGAACTGCTTTCACTGGTTCCCAAACTTCATGAATTTAAGCATGTTACTAGGTTGGCATCTCACTCTCACCCTTTCACTGTTGAAACTGTTAAATGTAGCCATCTCTTCTACTCCAATAGCTTCATGTCTCACACCTCTTGCCTGTGGAACTCTCTCCCCTTTTCCTGTTTCTCTGATAGCTATAATCACCAACTATTCAAATGTAATATCGATTGATGTCTCCAGATGCCTTGATCTATCCCCTATCTTTCTCTTCAAAATCTGTCACTCCTATTTTCTCTTGCTCCAACTCTCTGTAACCCCTTGCATGCTAGTGGCTTCCTAGCTTGGGGTGAAATACTTAAAAAAATATATATATATATATATTGTCCAGAGAGTAATAACCTAGTGTCAGCCATAAGAACGCATGCTTGCATAGTCATGCACGATTGTGGCTTGTCTTTCCTGTTGTTGGGGAGATGCACTGAGGGTTGCTTACAGGGAAAGGTAGCTGCAAAGATCAGCAACATAAAATTGATAGGAATAAAGATAAAATAGTTACTGTCAAAATGCTGATGAGAAGTAAACAGATTATGTCTGGAGAACTGACTAATCATAGAAGGGTTGAACATTCATTACAAAAGCAGTGATTATCCTGCTCCTATTAATGAGAATTTATGTACAATCATGATGATGATAATAATAATAATAATAATAATGGTAGCAGTTTAAGGAAAATGATTACTTGCCAAATAATAACAGAAATTTTAATAGAGCAATTGATGTTTTACAACTACTTTCTTTTTTCTCGCTGTATTTATTTAAACTGTACAAAAACAATTCTAAGAGGATTAAGCAGAATTTATTATCAGCAGACATAATCTCAATAAAACATATGCAGATGACACTGTGCTGATAGCAGATTCAAAATGGAAAGTGAAAGAATTCTTAAACAAAGTAGTAAAGGAAAGCAAGAAGAAAGAATACAGAATGCATCATTATCAGTAAAAAAGATAACCTAAGATGTTAGTTACAATTTGGGGATGTTAAATTCAAACAAATACAAAAAGGAGTATATAAACATGGTAGTAATAGAAAGCAAGATAAAAGGACTAACTATTAACTGTAAGAAGACAGATCCATGGCTGACTGTCAGCAAAAGAGACAGCCTAAAATGTGAGTAGCTCATGTATAAGATGCATTGAATTTTTAAATTTTATAACAGCTAAACAATATAAGATACAGAAATGGCACTGTGCTGAAAACAGATTCAGAAAAGAAACTCTTAGACAAAATAGTAAAAGAAAGCAAGAAGAAATGACTAACTATTACCTCTAAGATGATAGCTCCATGGCTGTCAGCAAAAGAGATGGCCAAAGGTAGGAGTTAGCTACATATTGGGGACATCAAAATTAAGCAGGCAGAGAAATGTAACTCTTTGGGAGGTGGAGTAACAGATGATAGAAAGTGTGACACAAAAATCTGGAGGTGCATAGAAACAGCAAAAGATGTCTTCCAGAAACTAAGCTAAGTATTAAGAGATAGGAAAATATACTTAGAAAGAAACCAAAAAAAGAAAAAGAAAACTGAACTGCTACATATTTTCTAATCTCTTATATGGCAGTGAATGCTGGACAATTTCCTCAATGATGAAGTAGAGTTAGTGTGAGATGTGGCTCTACCAATAGATTCTATGAATATCATGTGAGCAACAAGGAAGTCTCAAAGAAAATAGAAACAACAATGAAACTTTCATTTCTGGGATACCTAATGAGGAAAGAAGGTCTAGAGAATTAAACCCTCACAGAACATATTTAAGGTAAGAGATGTCGGGGCAAATAGTGACTAACCGACTTAATAAGATTGTGTAAATACAGGTCTGTAGAGATGGTAAAGAATTTAGAAATACTTATAGAAGTAAAATATAGTAAGTTGTGGAGAGTCATGATCACCCATATCATGAAAGGATTTGGCACATAAAATAAGATTACAACCAAAAGCTGTCTTGGAATAAACCTATGTTCTTTTATGGTTTGCTCATTGCTTACCATTAGTGTCAGTGTCTTTTCACCCAATTCTTTTAGGAGTTTTACTTCTCCAAGTAGTTTTTAAGAATATCAAAAGAAGAGCCAAATGCCAGAAAAAGAAATGATTTGAAAAAATCAAGTTTTGCATATTGAAAAGTTACAAATTCTTCTTGAATATATATTTTTTATTACTATAAACACTATTTTTAGTGGGCAAACCAGTTTTTTTTATCTGTCCTGGGTATGACAGCAAGACCTTTGATAAGAAGGTTTTGAGGAGTGTGGTACCACCTTTTGGTTGCTGGTGTTCCCAGGTCCACTCTGTCCTGGGGTGGTGGCATCTGTTGGGGTCTCAGATATGGGCAAATGGTTGATCCCCACAAAAGGGTCAGCATACTATGAAAGTATAAAAATTGGTTTTAATACCAGAAATGCTTTTTTGGAGGGATTTTTATCACCAATGTATTTTTAAAAAAGAAAAATATAACCAGCAATACATTTTTGAAAAAAAAAAAAATTACTATCAATATATTTTTGAAAAAAAGTATTACCAACAATATATTTTTGCAAAAAATATTACCAGGAATAAAAAATCTTCTCAGCATTAAATAACCCATTGAGGTTGATATGCCATAAAACAAACCAAACCAAACTATACATTTTTGAAGGAAAAAAAAAATATTACCAGCAATAAAAATCTTGTCGGCATTAAATAACTCATTGAGGTTGATATGCCGTAAAACAAAACAAACTAAATCGTTTTTTTATGTTGGCATCCCTGTTTTTTTTTATTTTCTTAAACAATGAAATTTATATCAACCAACCAATATCAAGAAGTCTTACTAAAGAAAAATGTGCCTATCAATGGCAATCAAATTTGTTTACTATTTTTCTAGTCAGGGAAACCACTCAAATTGTGCCTTTACCAATTAGTTCACAAGAGACCAGCATGATGGCTTGCCTTACCATAAAATTATCTTGATAATTGTCCTTTGACATGAAGAGATTAAGATTTTAGTGTTCAGGGAAGCATCCATGCAGGAGCCTGTTCCACAAAGTGGCAGTTCATGGGAAGATGCTAAGTGGAACTTTCTCCTTACATTTGGAATACAGAGAGAATGAGATGGATTTGATTTGATGGAGGTAGCATGGGTGTCTTCGTTGATAATGACAATGTTGCTGATATTAATACTGATAATAATGATGATGATTTTGTAATATTTGAAAAATACAGAAAGCAAATGTGTTGGCCAGTGAAATTCCTAAGTTAAAATATTTCTTTAATTTTTCTTTTTCAGGAAGCTTATGTGGAAGGTCTTAATGATGATACACTATTTAAGAATATGTATGAAGATGATGTGGAGGGCAAGAAGCTCAACGAAATGCCAGGAGTTATACTCGAACTTGCTGGATATCCTTTGTCTTTAACTTGAACATGAAAAAGATTTGCTAATATTCAAGAAAATCTTGCATGTTTTAGAAAGTTCCATATGAATTGTTTCTCCAAGCAAACTTTATTTTTAAACAATATTCGTTACCTTTGACTAACAAATAAGTAACAGTCTTGTTTTATATTTGAACATATGGAATTTTCATTATGTGAATGATATTTTAAATTGTAAATTTTTTTCAAGCATAATATTGAACCAATTGCACAATTTAATACTAGGAAATTTGGTTCACTGTGTCATGTTAGGGCAGTGTTTCTCAACCTTTTTAATCAATGGCACACCTAGGATCAAATAAAAATATCATGGCACACTTAGCAAAATTTTTAAAGGTATACATTTAAATGTCATGAAATAAAACCATAGATTTAAAAAAAAAAAAAAGAACTTTATTTCAATGTTTCTATTATTGTGCAGCTTATTTAGTGTGAAATCTGTGTCTGTTTTTTTTTATATTTCTTCAATATTTGGTCAAATGTGCAATAAGCAGACCCTCATTTCTTCTTCAGTTGACTGTAGTCTTTCTCACTTCTTATTTTTGATGTTATTTAGGGTTGAAAAGTGTAATTCACATAAATAAGAAAATTGCAATAAGTCTTTTTAGCTAATGTGGGATATTTCTTTTGTATTGAAATCCAAAATGAATCAATAGGTACTGTCAAATGTTTTATTTTGAGCCCTCAATCACTAGAAGTGGTGGCTAATTCTTCTTCTTCACATAAATGGAGTCTAATATTAGAAGGAATATTTATGAAGGAATTTTGAATTGAATCATTCTTTTTTTTGTGCTCAATGACAGAAAATACTTTTAAAAAATGACTATTAAAACAATGTATCTAAAATAACATAATTGAAGAATATTGAAAAGAATTATTTGAATAAAGTTTAATATTTATTCATTTATTCTAATACTAATAATGTTATATTATTACTATATTATTATTATACTAATACACACATATATATGTATGCTATGACAATATTTTATGGCACACTTAAGAATATCAGAAGTTGAGAATCACTGTGTTAGACAATGTTTCTGAATCTGTCATGCAGTTTTATAAGTCTACCATTTGTCTGTGCATGGAGTACATTATTATTCTGGTTATGTTTCTGGTATATATATATATATATATATATATATATATATATATATATATATATATATATAGAGAGAGAGAGAGAGATTCTTGACAAAATCCAAAAGAATCTGTAATGTTATCAGTCTTGACTTGATGTTTCAGCTTCACTCACTTTCCCACCACCAAAATATAGTCTCCTTGTACCTTTTCTATAAATATTTTCATGGCAGTTGTTCTGATGGGCTTTCCTGTTTGCCATCTCAACTTCATGAACTTAAGCAGAGTAATAGATTGGCAGCTAGATCTCATAATTTCCCTGTTGAAATTGCTAGATGCAACTGGAAGTTCTATTCTAATAGTTTCTTCTCTAACACTTCTTGCTTGTAGAACTCTCTTCCAGATTCTTGCTGTCATGTCACTCATCATCATCTGTTCTTTTATTGTCCTTTCTCCTCAACAATCATTTTCTTAGTTTCTTTCATTCTCACTAATCCCTTGCATTTTAGAGAATTTTGTCTCTTTGCTCAGAACATGGCTCGTCTTTTAGTAGCCATGACGTCAGTCAATGTCACACAGTCCACAACCCTGTATCCCAGTTAATTGTCAACTCTATACTCTTTTCAATGTTTGTATAGTATGCACTTTATGAGGGTTACAAACTGGTTTTGAATTCAGAGATGTTCTTCTTCTAGACTGGTTGCCTACCATGGCTAAAGAGCTCAATCTGCCCTTCTATTTACCCAATAGCTTAAAGGAAAAGATATAATCATGCCTTTCTGAAGAGTATTTGTGCAAAATTGAATTCATTGAACCCAACCAGAATTCAAACTAGGCTCAATGTAGATATATGAGCAGTGTAATGGTTAGCAGCTTAGAAAGATAACTAGGTGAGCCTCATTTTATCAGCACTAATAATTCACACTGTAGAATGTTTCACATATGTGTATTTGACAAGATAAAATCTAGTAAGAAAAAATATCCTATTGTGAAGCATCTGTTTGCTTAACACTTTCACTGCTGCATTGTTATAGCATTGTTGCCTGGCTGTGCTGCACTGTTTTTTGGAAAAATAAGAAATTGACATTTACTGGAAATAAATAGCTATAAATGTTTTTATAGGTTTGTTTGAAATTTATTTTCCTGGTTTCTGAATTTTTACTAAGGTTTGTAAATAATACCCATCACTTATTATTGATTATATTGGGTATTCCAATAACTAGGACCGATTTTAAATGTGAATTAAGTTTAAGTGTCTAATGATTTTTTTTCTTTTTCTTTCAGATTTAACAACTTAAGTTTTTGGAAATTTCAACCATGGAAAGATTGACAATCAAACAACATGTTAAACTATCGAAGCCTATTATGAAAATGTATGTTCAAATTTATAAATATATAGCTCAATGATTCCGCTGACAAAAAAATGCACACCAAACAGTGACCTTTTATGGATGCAGTGGCTTTTCAACAATCTTCCATGGATTTTCATCAGCCCAAATATGACAATTCTGCTTATTAACAATTCCACTAAGATGGGCTTTATCACTAAAGAGGAATTTTTGTGAAAAATCTTTATTGGCTTGACTTTGCTTATGCACCCAATTGACAGTGCTCCCAATGGTCAGCAGGTTCCAGTTCTTGTGTCATTTAAATTTTGTAAGTGTGTAGAGACAAATCTTTTGTCAAAATTTGATATAATGTTGTCATGAAGAGGTTCAATTTTTGTGTGCAATGATGAATAGAAGTGTTTGGATTTTCAGCCACATTCTCGTGCACTGCAGCAATGTTTTCAGCTGAACAGCATAAACAAGCATACAGTATTGTTTTCACATCTGCCACCGACCCAGTTTGTTTGAATTTACAAACAATCACTGTTGGAACTTTAACACATTTGATTGTTAATCTTTCCTTGGTTGAAATTGCCAAAGACTCAAGTTGTTAAATCTGAAAGAAAAAGAAAAAAATCATTAGATGCTTAAACTTAATTCACATTTAAAATCACTCCAAGTTATTGGAACACCCTATACAAACAATAAAATGCTAAGTAAACTTTAAAAATTATTTCTCTAACATTGGATAAAAAACATGCTGGGAACTTTTGTATCAATGTAATATATTTAGTTTTATGCTATTTACTTATATTACTTATTTATATTCTCAGGTTGTAATGAAAGTTCTGTTCAGTTTTTGAGATGTATAGTGCCCACAAAAAGAGGAGTAACACATAACCTAATGACTGCTTAAGATGTGAAACTGACAGTCACCGTACAGTGTAAATTTTTATTTTCACACTGTTTATGAGGTGAACCACTGGTGCCTCATAACCATCTGCTTATAGATTGAACTCATCAGCCTGGGAAGCCAGTCCATCTGGAGGAAGTAAAACTGTGATTTTAAACCTCTATTGTATTGTAGCCATATTCAAACATGGAAAAACCTATGAAAGTAAATTTGGATAGAAAAACTGGAATGGAACTCCGAAAGCGGTTGGCTGTCAACACTGAAAAACTTCTGGCAATTCCTGCAGCCAAACTCCAAATGTGATGCCCTGTATTCCTTTGCATTTTGTTGGTATGGTCAAGAGGGGGGGGGCATGTAGTCTGAAAAGGGCATGGTCTTCTTTTACCATCACTCAGGACTGTATCCTGGTAAGGTCATGCCAGTCTCACCAACAAAGGACTGAAGTTTGACTAAACAGAGTGCTATCATTATTTTATGAGATAAATGGATGCCTTCTACTATTAATATCTAAAAATGCTCTATCTTTGATATGGAGCACTTTTTCCCATATAAATATAGGATATTAATATAGAAATATAGAATATTAATATAGAATATTAATATATATATATATATATATATATATATATATATATATATATATTGATATATATATATATATATACTATGTAAATATAGTAAATTTTAAATGACACACACACACACACACACATATATATATATATATATATATGCATATATATAATATAGATTTATTTGCATGAATAAAGACAAAAGGAAAACTTATCTTTGTCAAATCGTTTTGTCCTCTGATGGATTTTCTCAAAACAAATGTAAGGATTTTATTTTTCAATGAATATTTATAAAACAAAAGCAAAAATGTTAGTTTTTCAATTTTTTAAAAGGCTCATAAATATTCATCAGGCTAACTGAAAAGTGAAGGTAAAATATAAAAGATGCTAAGTGATATAATTTAATGTCTAATAAACAAAAGTGAGTAAATACTGGGGTTGAATTTTTTTTCAGTATTTATATTAATTTAGTTTCAGATTAAATTATGTATTATATATCTCTATCTATAAAAGGCAGGATGTGTGTGTGTGTGTAACGAATGCACGGCCGCAATTTTCCACAGATTTGCACCAAAATTTACATGCACATGCTCCAAGTTAGTGGGAAGTCCAAGACCAACTTTGCATTTCCCAACTCCCATCGATAGTGGAAATAATCAATTTTTTCATGCTTCTACAGCAGTTTTCATGTAGTTTGCAGCCATTTTCTACTGGCCAGAGTGAGAGCCTATAGCTGGCTGCCACGAATAGGCAGGAAGATTCTACTGGCCAGTGTGAGAGCCAACAGCTAACTGACACGAATGTTAACTAGCATGCTAGCGTGCAAAAAAATCGATAGCTGCATTTGTCACAAGTGGGAAAAATTTGCTGCTAGTTTTAAATAATAGAAGCATATGAAGTTAACTGTTTTCTCTTAATTTTTATAGTTACATATGTTAGATTGGGAAAGGAAAGGAAAAGGAGATGTTTGAAAAAATTCAGTGCACAGATACATATTTTCGTAAGATTTGATAGCAGAACTTTCAAGAATTTTCCTTCTGAGTAAGTTACTTTCTCTTTTAATAAGTATGGTATTCTTTATTTAGATCAAAGTTGTGGCTGAATTTATTTCTATGTATGATTAATGCATTTGATAAATTTTTGTTATTTATTTGTATATTCATTTTATATTATATTTATTTATTTTTATTATTTATTTGATATCAACTATAAATTATTTATTTTATGAAAAAAATTTAAAATATCTACCAAGATTTGAAAGTTTCAAAATGAAAACTAGCATCTTATTTCATCAAAGGTGGTTGAAATGATACGCTTTTAAAATTTTTACTCATCCAACCATAGCTACAACATATTTAGTTATATTTGTATTGATCTAGCAGGTAGTATGCAGATCTCACAAGCTGTAGAACATAAGTATGACTCTTGTTTATTGCTCCAGAAATAATGCCTCCAATGAAAGTGCAATTAAGAGATTACTTGCAACACTCATTAAGCTTTATAAGCCCTTGTAAAAATTATGGAATTAGCAAACTTAGGTAATTGATAGTGAAGATTACTTGTAAGGGAATAGAACAAGCTAAGATGTGAAGTGAGAGAAGTCAGCTCGAGAGATTTATCTCAATGCCGACTTGAATGGAAAGCAAGCCCCGCTCTCACATGTGACTAGAGACCAAAAGTTGTCTAGCTGTCTCAGCATTTCTCCTTTTAGAGATGCCTCAGGCACCAGGTAATGACCCTATCCTTAAGAGGGAAAAGTATTAGAGAAGAAATGGGTCCCCCTGGGATTGGGGTTAATTTTGCAATTCAGGTCCAAAACGCTTTGGAAGTAGAAATATAAAATGATGTTTTGATGAAAAAGGATTTGAATAAACCAGAAAAAGATACATGCCACAAATTAAGGAATATCATTCAAAACAAGAAAACACAGGCAAACAAAGTACTTATCTACAATCCCTGGTAAAAAAAAAAATGTGGAATTAGCACAAAATTAAAGGATGATCTTGGTTTTAAGCTCATCAAAGATAAGATACATAATGTCTTTTATTTGATAGCTGAAAATTTTGGCTTCATCAAATATACCTTAAACAAATTAGATTAAATTGATGGTATAAATCTTTCCAAGCCATTAAAAGGAAAACATTATGGTGTAATCCAATACTGAATAAAAAATTAAGGCATGATCTTGTAATTTGCATTCTTAAAACAGATACCAATAGAAAAAAGCTTAGATATTCAAATCAGTCTACAGTGAAAATAGAAATTCTTGCTGAGCTCAAAAAGCAGTTGACCTTATCTAATTGAAAGGACAACATGGCTGCCACAAAAGACCTGTCAATTGAAACAATGAAAAGGATCATGAAACTAGTTCACGAAGGAAATTCACAATGGAATGTGAGGAAAGATGTCAGTTGTTCCACTCAGCTCTGTCTAAAATTTGGTGACAATATGAAAAAAATGAGACAATTAAAAAATGAAAACATATTTGTAGATCACAAAAAACAGTAAATCATCAGGATAGAAAACAAAATAATTCAAGAATAGAGAATGTGCAACAAAGCAAAAGAAAAACAAATGGATGAAAAGAGGAATCAGTGTTTGTGACAGAACTGTAAGAAATCAACTGAATGAAATGGGATTTTTATATAGAAAGTACCAAATGAAAAACAGTACTAGTACAAAAAGAAGAAAATGAAGTTAAAGTGGACTAAAGAGAAATAATCATGGTGTGTGAGCAATCATATAAAAGTAATATTCATTAGTGAATCTGCAAGGTGATAGCCAAGGTGATAATACTGAAATTTGTGTCTGGTGCTGTTCAAATGAAATATTTCAAAATGACTGGCTAAAGAAAACAAGTAAATTTCCCAAGTTATCCATGATATAGTGTTGTATGTCATTTAAAAGAGTAGGGGAAAAGGCAATCATTACCACAACAAACGATGCACAAAGCTTTTCTTCAGGAAGGACATATAAAATCAATGACTTGGCAAGCAAGCAGTCTGAACATCAGTCTAATTGAACAATATATGGTAAAAATTTTAAAAAAATGGTCTATGAGGAGTAGCCATCAACCAAAGAAGGTCTATTAACTGCCCTTCTGCAAAGTTAGCTCAACTTTGATCAAAAATACTGCTTTAAATTAGTGAAACCCATTCCTGAAAGAATTGTGTCATTAAAAGCTCAAGGAGTGTTAACTGTAATTTTTGTCAATGAATTCCATAATTTTTTTCTCAGTATTGGCTTATTCCATAATATTTTCCTTTACATAGTTTGGAAAAAAATTATAGCAATAATTTAAATTCTTTAATTAAGTCTCTTTCAGGCATATTTTATAAAACCAGTGAGTTCAGCTATTAAATAAATGTTTTTCATCTTATCTGTGATTAGTTTATTTACTACTAAATAAAAAAAAACAAGGTTAACATCCTCTAAGTGTGCTAATTCCATAATTTTTTTCCAGGACTAGTAGCACACTGCTAGATGAAGTGTCTACAGTTTAATGTTTCTAGCATCTACTATCTTATGGGTGTAAATATGTACATACAAACTTACACTGACTTAAGTTACATGAAGGTAAATTTATTTTATTGAATTGAATAAATGCTTAAAGCAAGAAGATTGTGTAGTACTAATCTTCCTGTCTTGAATATATGCTATAAACTTTAATTTGAAAATGTAAATTTAGATTTTGAATGATTTATAAATATTCAAATCTGATCTCTTATGTAATTGCTTAGTCCAATCTGTTCATATCTAACTTACAATTCTTATCTATCTATCTATCTATCTATCTATCTATCTATCTATCTATCTATCTATCTATCTATCAAAGACAGTGTCATAAAGTCAAGCCACCTTGTCTCTATATAACATTTTATAACTCTGTAGTTATTCCTCAATAGCATTTGTCTCTTTTTCTCCTCACCTCTCTCTCTTCCTTGTGTGTGTGTGTTCTCTTAATCTTCATTTCCCACGTCATAAATAGCTTAGTGTTTTGTTTCCTGGAAAATCTTTGTTTCTTTTTGGTTTTATTTCTGTTTTATACAAAAAATATTCTCTCTCTCTTTCTAATTCCATTTGAACTTGGCCTTCATCAGCCAATTGTAGGGATAAACATGGATTAACTAATCTGTATTTAGTAATCTGGATTAACCTTGTTAACCTTGTTACTTATTGTTTTTTCTTGCACAGGTTTTAATTGCAAAGACATTGATGCGGGAAAGTGGCCAATATTATTGGTTTGTTCTCCTCATTGCAAAATCAACAAATTCTTTCCCATTTGGAACAGACAATCATTTTTATTAAATTAAATCTGGAATTTTTTTTAACAAATGTGTAGAAAATGTAGTCCTTAATCTGTCCTGTGAGTATCAGGTTTTCCAAGCCCTCCTTCCTCATTACATGCTCCAGAAATTTCAATTGTCTCTTCTTGATGTTAAGTATAAGTTTCCTTTTGGTTTTCATTTTCTCCAAAATCTTGTTGGTGCTTGCATTTACAGTTCATGGTATCCTCAGCATCTTTCTGTAGAACCACATTTCTGTTGCTTCAAATCTTTTCTTCATCTTTGAGGAGATTGTCCAGCATTCACTCCCATACATAAGAACAGATATCATATAACAGTTCAATGCTCTTTCCCTTGTTTCTAATGAAATTTTTTCTGTCTCTTAATACTTCAGAATGCATCTTTGTCCATCCCAATATATCTTTGGATCTCAGTGTCACACTTTTCGGCCTCTGTTAGAATGCTTCCCAGATATTTAAATTTCTGTACTTCGTAATTTGTATTTTGGGTTCATCCTTTTGCTGATAACCATGCATTCTGTCTTTTAGTTTATACTTAGTCCTCTCTTCTTGCTTTCCTTCACTACCTTCTGTGGGAGCTTTTGTAATTTCCTTTCTGTGTCTGCTATCAGCACTGTGTTCTCTGCATATCTAATATCGTTAAGATTGTGACTACCCAATCCTGCCCAAAGCAAGGCAATAAAGTCACTAAGATGCAAATGGTTACTTACTGAGTGTGAGAGAATATGAGAAAAAGAAAAACATTATTAAGGAGAGAGAACAATGAAAGAACAAGAATTAATAAAACAGAAGATAATGATTGACATTGCATTTAAATTTTTGAAGATCAAAGTTGACTGGAAAGCAAGAAGCCAGTAGAGAGAGTTCGAAAGTGGAAATTGAGCAAAACAATAGAAGAGTAATCAGAAGACAGTAGATAATGATTGACATTGCATTTAAATTTTTGAAGATCAAAGTTGACTGGAAAGCAAGAAGCCAGTAGAGAGTTCGACAAGTGAAATTGAGCGAAAACAATAGAAGAGTAATCAGGAAGACAGTAGATAATGATTGACATTGCATTTAAATTTTTGAAGATCAAAGTTGACTGGAAAGCAAGAAGCCAGTAGAGAGTTCGACAAGTGGAAATTGAGCGAAAACAATAGAAGAGTAATCAGGAAGACAGTAGATAATGATTGACATTGCATTTAAATTTTTGAAGATCAAAGTTGACTGGAAAGCAAGAAGCCAGTAGAGAGTTCGACAAGTGGAAATTGAGCGAAAACAATAGAAGAGTAATCAGGAAGACAGTAGATAATGATTGACATTGCATTTAAATTTTTTGAAGATCAAAGTTGACTGGAAAGCAAGAAGCCAGTAGAGAGTTCGACAAGTGGAAATTGAGCGAAAACTAGAAGAGTAATCAGGAAGACAGTAGATAATGATTGACATTGCATTTAAATTTTGAAGATCAAAGTTGACTGGAAAGCAAGAAGCCAGTAGAGAGTTGACAAGTGGAAATTGAGCGAAAAACAATAGAAGAGTAATCAGGAAGACAGTAGATAATGATTGACATTGCATTTAAATTTTTGAAGATCAAAGTTGACTGGAAAGCAAGAAGCCGTAGAGAGTTCGACAAGTGGAAATTGAGCGAAACAATAGAAGAGTAATCAGGAAGACAGTAGATAATGATTGACATTGCATTTAAATTTTTGAAGATCAAAGTTGACTGGAAAGCAAGAAGATAAAAAAGAGATCCACAAGTAAGAAGTGCAAGAGAAGAAACTGTTAGCATAGAATATACTTACATTTAGCAATTTCAATTGTAAATGATGAAACTTAGCTGCCAATCTAGTACTGCACTTAAATTCATAAAGTCTAGGCACTAAAGAGAAAGTTTCATCAGAACAATTACGATGAAAATATTTATAGAAAAGGCAAAATGTGTACAACACTTTCTGTATTTGGTACAGTTGCTTATAAACACACAGTTAAAAATTATCTAATGACTTACCAGTCTATTGAGAACTAGTAAGACAATCAAATTTCAAATTTAATTTGTTTGTCCATTTAAAATATGACATTTATTAGAAAATATATTCAATTTAAATACTGAAGTCATAAAAATAATAATAAAGGGCTGCACATTTTGGCTTATGCTTTTCTCCTGTTATCTGAGGGTTGTTACCAGACAGAAAGGGAAATTAACCCTTGTGACATAGATGCTAATTTCAATTTCATTCAAGTTGTGTATGTATGTAGATTTGCTTGTGTGCATGTATATTTTCATTCACTGTCAGACCTAAAAATATTTTGACAAAATAAAAAAAATATTTAAAAATGATTATATTTATTACCAAATAATTTCCAAAAAGCTTACTATAAATTTTATAAAAATTTGTTTTTGTAGGGTCTAAAAATTTAAGTTGTTTCTTGTCTCCAACTTTATGATTTTATTGCTCATCCTAGGGTAGAAGTTGTCCAGACTGAGTGTATAGGGAATCTGTTATTCTTACTTGTCATACTTTAAAGTTATGCAAATTGTATGCATATGCAAATGGTACTAGCATATGTAAGTGACCTGACAAACAACACATGCATAATGTATATGCATATACATTAAATATGCCCATGCAAATAACAGATAAATAATGTGTGATTTGCATGTACAGAGAATCACCGGTTCTTTCATAATATGAACTGAATTAGAAAATCTCATGTTCACATTTTTGGCTTTTACATTCATAACATTTTGGCTACTTATTAGTACCCTTGTTATTTGGATCAGCCTGCTCATCTTGGTTGTCTTAATCACAATGTTTCGACCATGTATTCTCGAGCCATCTTCAGGTGTCGGTGTTCATATTCAATAATGTTCTTGGAATTTTGAACCAAACCCTTTATTTAGGTAGATTGTTTTCATTCCACTTTATATATTTAAAGATATTTCAAATTGGTTGACATACACTTGACTTATTAATCTTTGTATCACTTGTCCCTTTTCTTCTTATGATTTTTCTTCTTATGACTTTTTATCACTATCAAACCCAGGTTAATGCGCTTGCCAGTCAGTTATATAATTATTGTAATTGCGCATCTCAAAGTTTTTGACAAAGATTTTGGCCACTCTGTTCTCTGATCTTCTTTAGGTACTTGTATGGAAAGTATAGCTACTCTATCTATCTATCTATCTATCTATCTATCTATCTATCTCAATTAGTTCCTATCTATCTATGTATCTATCTATCTCAATTAGTTCCTATCTATCTATCTATCTATCTATCTCAATTAGTTCCCATTCATCTATCTATCTATCTATCTCAATTAGTTCCTATCTATCTATCTATCTATCTATCTCAATTAGTTCCTATCTATCTATCTATCTATCTATCTCAATTAGTTCCTATCTATCTATCTATCTCAATTAGTTCCTATCTATCTATCTATCTATCTATCTATCTATCTCAATTAGTTCCTATCTATCTATCTATCTATCTATCTCAATTAGTTCCTATCTATCTATCTATCTATCTATCTATCTATCTATCTATCTATCTATCTATCTATCTATCTCAATTAGTTCCTATCTATCTATCTATCTATCTATCTATCTATCTATCTATCTATCTATCTCAATTAGTTCCTATCTATCTATCTATCTATCTATCTATCTATATATCTATCTATCTATCTATCTATCTATCTCAATTAGTTCCTATCTATCTATCTATCTATCTATCTATCTAAAGATAGACATAAACAGACTGAGATAGAGAAATAGAAACAGACATATAGATAGGTAGAGAAATAGAAACAGACTTAGATATATAGACAGAGAAATACAACCATATTGAGATACATAGATATATAGACAGAAAAATAGAAACAGGCTGGTATAGATACATAGGAACAGATTGAAATATATATATATATATATAGATAGAGAGAGAGAGAGAGATAGATAAGAGCAGACTGAAATAAATAGAAACAGACTGAGATAGATATGAACAGATTGAGATAGATAAATAGATAAATATGAACAGACTGATATATATATATATATATATATATATATATATATATATATATATATATATGAGAGAGAGAGAGAGAGATGTAAACAGACTGAGATATAGATATAGAGAGAGAAATAGACTTAGATAGATAGATAGATGGTAAAAATCAGTTTTATATTTTTTAATGTTTCCAAACTCTTATCTCTTTAATATTTTTTAAGATAATCAACACTGGATTAGCAAGCAAATCTAGTTGAATTCCTCTCTTGTGAAGATTCTCAAATCCTGCCATAATGAAATAGTTAAATGCTAGCTAATCTATCATGTGCTTTAGAAATGTTCTAGCTTATCTATGCTTCTGTTTGCAATAATAAAATGAGGTCAGATGGTGGTAGTTATTCATGTGTAAACACTTTTCTTCTATTGTAAGATCACCTGATAAAAATGTTTAGGTTTTACATTTTGAAATGTTTAGAATTTTTAAATAATTTGGCTGACTTGCTTCATGTTGAAAATAAATTGCGTCTAAAATAAAGGCCATCTGCATGATTCAAGTATTTGTAGCTTTTGCCAACAAATATTTTTCATTACATAATTTTTTTTTATCTATATCACTTTTGTAGTGCTTTTTCTCTATTCAATGAATAGTATATTATTATAGCAAGATTTATGTAAACATCATAGTGCTTCTTTGCAAGCCATATATACATATATATATATATATATATATATATCCAAATGAGAGAAAGAACAGATAGAGTAAACATCCACTGTTCATTGCATTTACTTTTAGAAATGTGCTCAATACAAAATAAAGCAATACATTATTATTATTTTTATTAGAGATTATAATAAAAGCATGTTGAAATCGCTACACAAAAGCTTTCATGTTTAAATAGTTACCATCGTCTGAAGAAGTACAGTCATAGTATTGAAAAATTAAAGTTTTTGTGTACCAATTTCAACATGCTTTTATTATAATCTCTTATAATAAAAACAATAATATATATATGTGTGTGTGTGTATATATATTTCATATCTATTTCTCTATCTATCTACAAAATATAATTATTATATCCTAATAAAATTGAAGAAGTTACACTTTGTATTTGATTTTGGGAGGCCAATATGAAACCTATATCTGATCTGTGCACATGGGGTTTTAACTGAACTATAAATGTTTGTTCAATAGATAAACAGACCTTATGTCTCTAAGAAGGTCAGTGTTTGTTCCAGATGACTGGAAATGAATTTTAGATAGATATAAATGAGAAGACATATATAGATAGATAAATAGATAGATAGATAATGAACAGACGTAGATAGATAGATAGATAGATAATGAACAGACGTAGATAGATAGATAGATAGATAATGAACAGACGTAGATAGATAGATAGATAGATAGATAGATAGATAATGAACAGACGTAGATAGATAGATAGATAGATAATGAACAGACGTAGATAGATAGATAGATAGATAATGAACAGACGTAGATAGATAGATAGATAATGAACAGACGTAGATAGATAGATAGATAGATAATGAACAGACGTAGATAGATAGATAGATAATGAACAGACGTAGATAGATAGATAGATAGATAATGAACAGACGTAGATAGATAGATAGATAGATAGATAATGAACATAGATAGATAGATAGACAGACAATTAAGTAGATATATATGAGCAGACTGCGATAGATGACCAAAAAGTAAAGTCTGTTCTTCTTTAATTACATAGGATCCCTTATTGTCCATTTAGTACTTCTCTCTGGTCTTTTTAACAGGATTAGAGGTTTATCCCTTGTTTCCTGCTTAGGATTGGGTTTCTGGTTCTTTCTAAATTCCACTTCAGCTCTATACTTCTAATGTCTCCACCTAAACTCTAAATTTAATACTATTATTGGGTTTCTGCTTCTTTCTAAAATCTTTTCCTTCTCTTTCATTTCCAGTAGGCCCTTATGTCTTAGTGGCCTTACTTGGAATTTATTAAAAACATTAAAACATAAATGAGGTGCAATGCAATTAGGGAGACAAAATATGTAATTGTGTCCATTGTAAAGAGAGAAATCTACACAAGATGTGAAAAGTATCCATGAGTATGATTTTTTTGAATTCACATATTTTAGTTTCCTTTTTAAGATTGGGTCTCTGGATACTTCTAAAATCTTATCATTCACCTTCACTCCCAGTAACTTCCTTGCATTGCCTTGCTTGGGGAGAATTAATAAAATAATATCAAAATGAACACAAAAGTTTCAGGATTCTAAATCTAGGTCACAATATAAACTTCCTTCTTCTAATACTGTTCTTCTTTAATTATGACAGATTTAATAGTAGTAGTACTCACTCACTCACTCATTCAAGTTCTATAGTGAGTACTGGTGAGTATGGGACCATAGATCTCAACATGCTAGGCATTGCTACTGTGGTTTCTCCTTCCAGAAACAGAAATTCTATGATGTCTCTGCTTTTTACATGTGTTTAGAAGGGCAACTGTTTTGAAAGAGGATTAATGGTAGGAAAAAAGAAGTTAACTCCCATTATAAGTTGTTTATGTATTACATTACTGGGCTTCAATATACTTAATGATGTATAGCTAAAAAACAAAACAAAAAAAAAAAAACCCAAGGAATTTTAATACTTTTAAAATTAAATTGGAACATTTATTACTTTTTGACAGATCCTTGTAGATAGATAATCTATAGATAGATAAATAGATCACTTAATCTATAGATAAATTCATCCAAAAAGGAAGTAAACATATCAATTTGAATTATTTAGGAAAAACAAAAAAACAAAAATAAAAACAGTTGAACAAAAAGAAAAGGAATGACCATCCTTCTCTCTTTTGATCCTCTCTCTCTGTCTCTGTCTTTGTCTCTCTCTTTTTCTAAAATTTTTCTTTTTTAAACACCAGTTATCTTGTGTTCTTCTATGTTTCTATTCTCCTGGATATGACGATGAACTACATCTGATCAGGAGAATGGAGGTTTTGGTACTATATATTAATTGCTGCTGTTCCCAGGTAGAACAAAACCCTATGAAAGTATAAAAAATATATTTTTATAGTAAAACGACTAACAATACATTTTATCTGTAGTTAAATGCATACAACTGCATTCAAAATATATTCAGTTGAATCCATAAAATTGAGTTCAAGATATTTAGATTTCAGCATTAAATAACCCATAGAGGTTGATATGCTGCTAAATAAAATCAACCAACATGAAAAACTCTTTCATGAAATTAATCCATATAATATCCTACAATTTTTTAAACCAAACTATATTCCAAAATATAACTTTAACAAACACACATGCATGTATTCAGTTGTAAAAGCAGAATAATATATATCATATTTTTCTTACTTGAAAATCTCAAGAAAATTAAATTTTGGCATTAAATGACCCATAAGGAGTTGATATGCCATTAAACAAACAAATCAGATTAAAGTTCCCAAGAAAATTAAATTTCATTATTAAATGACCCATAAGGATGTTGATATACCATTAAACAAACCAATTAATCAATCAATAATCTTTCTATTCTTAATCTATGAAGAGATATGTATCAGTACATTTTAACTGAAATATTGAAATATTATATACAAGAAGTTACTGAAAATTTTTTGTTCTGACCCACTCCTCAAAATCTGACTAAATAACCAAACACCAGATGTTTTTTGGAGAGTGCTTCTTGGTCTGGCTGAGAACTTTTTGGCATTCTCTTGTATATATTACATTTACCTATTTTAATATGTTTTTAAAATATTTTAATACGTTTTAATATAATGTAATGTTCTTAAATATCCTTGTCAGATTGAGACTTTCATATGGATACCATGCGAGGTGCCAAACCCACTCAGAAATATTTGAACTGTCAGCTGTATGCAAGCACTTTCTAAGATCAATGGTTAAAAATGACTTTGAGCAAGTGAAGCCTACTGATCTTGGCAAAGATCTTCTGAACCTTATGGACTGGTGCTACAGAATCAAAAAGAACTGTAACTAATAACAGAAATCACATCAGTTGAGAACATTTAACAGCAGAAAAAACTAAAATGGATAGCACATGTAACTCAAAGAGAAAATAATGACATAACCAGGATGTTGACATTCCACACTACTTCAAATAAAAGGTTAGGAAGGAAACCTCCTTCAGTACTGGAAAGAACGCTAACAGCTACTGGAATTGAGAAACATATTTTCCTGAAAAATTCTTTTAAGTGAGAAAGATTCTATAAATTTTGACTGACAGTATTACAGGTTGTTCAGTGAATGCCAAATGTTTCCTTATAAGGAAACAGCTAGTATTACAATTACCTTTTGTACATATTAAAAATTTAATGTTGCATCAGTAATATCAGAATATTAAATAGAAAGTCTTTTGCTGTCTTTAGATATTTTTAAAACAAAAACAGAAAAAAATGGATATTTTAATTTGATCTTAGTGTATATGCAAATATGTGAAATATACACATGTTATATGATACACATATGACTGCTATTAAATACACTGCATCAATGTTATGACTTAAATAAAAAAGAACATTAAATTTCATTTTGAGCCTTTAAGTATTAAGATAAATTTCAATTTTTGATTTTTTTTACTATTGTTCTTGTTATGATATTCTAAGTAAGGATTGCATTTGGATGTAGTCAGTGTTGGTTCTACAGTCCAAGAATAATGGTATTTAGATGTGCACCCACAAAATGTGACACAAAGGTCAAGTTTAATGTAGGTTTATTGGCAGGACATTGGAAAAATTCTGAAAGCTCCCTTGGCACTTTGCCATTTTGAGGACACTTTAGTTGCCAGCCCCCTTCCAAAGGAGAGGTACTGCCTGGGGTGATGACCCCTATGGGCTTGATCTAATGATACTTGCAGAGGAGCAAACTTATCTGCTGTTCAATCATACAAGACATTGCTCGTACTACTGGCAACAGCGCAAGTACTATTACAGTCCAAGTACCATGGTATTTACTCATCTCCCCATGGTGATATGATGTGACATAAGGTTAGTTTAATGTGGGGCACTCGAGCAGGTACTCCCAGGCCAGGTCCCAAAATTTCCTATTCCCCCGCAATCACCGGTTGCACAGGCATCAGTATTACTACTGATCCTCTTCTTTAGTCAAAAATAAATTTGCCTGGTCCTGGGGAACAAATGGCCATGACAGTACCCTTTTACTGCCATGGGCAGCTGTTCCTCAGAACCAGGCATATTTTATATTTTTCAGCTGCATTCTGTCTGCAGACAGAGATGCAATTGAGAGATGTCAATAGTATGAGCAGGACAAGTATCATTGCAACTACCTTATGTAACGAGCCTATACATAACGTCTACTCATAAACATATGCTAACTAGTGGTAGCACTAACCAACCAATACTATGGTTCATCCTATACAAGCCCCAAGAGCCACCCAAAGTAAAGGGTTACAGCATTGATATAAGAGAATTGCAAATTATAAGGATATATCAGATAGATAATGGTTGACCCTAGACTTGGAGAGGTTAAGTTTGTCAGGAGTGTGTTCCATAAAGCAACAGCTCTTAGAAAGAAGCTGCCTTAAAGGAACTTCCTTCTTACCAATGAAATATGAAGGGAATGTGAATGATTTGACCCTGTGTATGTGGCATTGGCAGGTTTTATCTGAATTAGTAGAACTAAGGAATGCAGCTAGTGTTTCATAACTTTACTTTCTGCTTGAATCTTGTAAGAACCAGTTCAGCCATATTAAATTACCATTATGATATGCATACCAATTTTTTATTTACTTTAATATCTTTATATAGATTCTCTTAGTAATATCCCTGGAACCACTGTAATCAATCAGTTACTTATTCACTCATATTTATATAGTGATTCACAGCATCCCGTAATTCAGGTTGTTGTAGCACCACATGTACTGCAGCTATAACAGTAATTGTGTGTCTAGAGCAAGATAGCCCAACAGAACTCCTTCCTCTTCAGGCTGGTTTTTAATTCAGATTTTCCTTCTACCAGATTGGTTGCCATATCAAAGCAAGAGAACTCAGTCTACCCTACTGTGAACATAACAAACTCGGCCAAAATTCAAACTTTAATTTTCTTTCCAAGCTGCCAACTGATGCCCTTCCCCATGTCTATTACAGTACCCATACATCTGTTGATTACTCTTTTGTTAGTTTTTTATATGAATTTACTTGACTACTATATGTATTCAGATCTACATTCTCTTGTCAGTGAATATAAACTTGTTGCTGCAAAGTATATCTTATTTAATTCAGTTTATAAAATTTTGTATAAGCCCCTATTTTTGATTCAGTGTCTAAATTAATATAATGCAAAATAAAAAAATAAGATATTTGATTGATATTTACTGAAAGATGCATTCTGATTGGTTGACTACTATTTAATTAAAGTTAATGATATTTGCAATATTTTTTAATCAGTAGTCCAAAAAGAGGTTATTTGATTGGCTGATATTTGATGGGAAACAGTTTAATTGGTTTGTTGCTATTTAATTAAGATTAATATCAAGAACATTTTTTCTTTTAAATTATAACAATTTAAAATCAATATTTGTGAGTGTAAAACTCTCTTATTAGCCTCAGAATTGGTAAGGAGTGCCTGAGTTTGGTTGCGATGAAATTTTTTGTTATAAATTTTCTGATTAAGATGGTAATTAATCCTTAACCTTTGGAATCTTTAAGGAGAAACTCATATCCTTGTGCAAGCAGATATTTGATTATGGCATTGAAGAACACAAAAAAATCATGGAGGAAGTGAATACATTTTGGGAATGTGTAGAAGAAGCAAAGCAAGAGAATAAATCTAAAGCAGTTGAAGCAATCAGTGAATTTATTGTCTACAAAGATAAGGTAAGATCACTGCCATTTCATAACCATTTTATACAGTTTGCAGCTTTAAGGACAAATGAAGAATTATTCCTTTTAAGAATTTCAGAATGAGTGTACTGAAATTTGAGCTTTATCTTTCTTGGGTTTGTATCTAAAGATTAATCCTAATGGGTCAGATATTCTCTAGAAATATAAAATTAAATCTAACACCATCAAGGGATTCTACATTCTCATGAGGATATAAGAGACTTTTTCTCCTCTCAAGTGGCTGCTTATATATCTTCATCAGCTGTTCCATATATGCATATCCGAAGCACAGCTGGACTGATCATCTGTTTACATGTTGGAAGCAGCTACTGATATCCTGTGAGACCAAGATCTGCTTTTGCTAGCTAGGAGGTTATCTTCCAGGTCATCTAGCTTCTGTACTGGTCTGCCATGATGCTGAATGCAAAGTATGTTTTGGAATCATCTTGGTTGAGTTAGATACTACACTGTAATAAAAAAAAATATTTAAATAATATTAATATAAAATTATTAATATAAATTATTATATAATATAAATTAATATAAAATAATGATATCAATCAGTAAAATTACCAGAATTAATAAGAATTTTTAAAGAGTTAATGGACTTATTTTTAATCAAGCTTTTTCCTTACTTCAAATGTTATTATAGTGGATACTTGTATTTGAAATAGTCACACCATTTTTATTTTTACTTTAAACAGTGTATATTACATCTGTTGGTCTGTGTATTTGAGAAATCTTAATAAAAAAAATTAGCTCTCCAGCAGGAAACAAACCTACATCTTTCATTATAGGAGAAACCACCATTTGATCTAATGTGCTTTACTGCTTGGCTACAAAGAGCATCAAAGTACAGCAAGTCGCTGTTATCTCTTTTTAAGGAAAGCATTGATACATTTTTCCTGAAAGCCCATATCTTCTAAGTTTCTTATCTTTTTCTAAGCAACAAATAAGAATGTTTAACAGTATGCTATAGGATTGAAACCAAGGATACCAGAGGTTTTAATCAAATTTAATATTGTAGGGATACAGAAGGAACTTTGGTGGGAATTTGGCACATGACGGATGCTTAGTGATATCACTCCTTACAGTGACGATAGAGGCAGTTAATTCAGTTTGTTTACAGCAACTAAACTAAAGTTAGTTTTCTTTAGCTCAAGCACCAAATGGCCCTATCAGAGGCTAAATCTGCCTCACCCACAGTTTACAAGTCCATGGTGCTGTTTCCCTCTGGAAATATATCTTTCTCAGATATAGAAAGAAATTCCAGGTTGCAGTCTTCATCTTGGGAAAACCAAAATCTTGTTGTTTTCCATTTGTGGAATATATCCTTACCTGAGACATAAATGAATCTGGAACCTTAAAAAAAGCTTCTCCAGACACAGGAGTATCTCCATATTATTATGTAAGACCCTTCCTCTTGTTACACTTTTCTTTCCTATGTAGATATGTGTGATGTAATCCCCCTGTGTGGGATATGTATATATATGGTTTTGTGTATGTTTTAGTGATATAAAAGTCTCTCTGGGAACAAAGAATGTTTGTCATTCCTTTTCCTTTTAGTGTTATTATATCATTAATATAATATTGTGGGGGGAAATACAAATAGGAGAATAAATATTTATACCATAGCTCTCCCTTATTAAATATCAATCAGTAAACTTTTGATCTAAGAGGAGGTGATCTGTGGTGACCCTAGTATGTACTGGGCCTACCCTAAGTGATATTAAAGTATGTTTTATACTTAGTGTCATATCAGACCATCAAAAGAGCTAAATGCCTCACAAAGGTGTATTTATAGTGTAGAATTGGGCCTCAAAGGATTTCAGTGACTGTACCAGCATTAAACAGGAAGTCAACCCAACCTAACTTATGATATATGCACATAAGACATGGTTGATAGGAAGGTATATAAATGCCTGTCGCCAGGGGGAGAGGTAGTGTCCCTTGTATCCTTATGAGAAGAAGGTTCACTGTATGAGGTTCCCAAAACCACATACCCTTATGGCTGATGTTAATTTGATGGCGTCTGGTAGAGAATAAATTATAATTTTAGATATGAGAGATTTAGTCTCATATTCTTATCAGACTTTGTAACCTGTACCTGTTGCAACATTCACCTGGTCGGTTGAGCCAGCTCTGCAAAACAAACCCACTGCATCTGAATGAAAGCTGACCAAGTATAGCAGAATTCATATTCATTCAGATGTGCAAATCTATAGTAGGAATTTCAGTAGGAATTTGGATTCATAAGCAATCCCCAACCACATGTATACACACTTTTTTTAGGATAGTGTGATCTAGTTTGAATTCAGAGTTTCCTTCTAAATTAGTTAGCATCTGATGTGATAGTCTACTCTGCTATTTAACCCATAGCTGGGGAGAGAAGATATATATTCATTACTTTCCAAAAGATATTTTGTGTGGAAGTGAGTGCAACAGAGTAGACCAAAATTTAAACTTGGTTCATTGATTCTATTTTAATGCTGATAGCTGTTATACAACCTTCATCTTAAAGTCGACAGATACTGTAAATAAATAAGGAATATTACTTTATAATTAGTATTTAATAGTTATCTCCCTTAAAAGTTTTTTTTAACTTTGTTTTATTGGAATATTTTCCATAATTTACTCATTGATTGGATCAATAAATGTTGAACACCTTCATTGATATTTTTAGAAGTTATTGCAAAGGTTAAATGTAAGGCAAAGAAACTAAAAACTTTAAAATTCATATTAGAATGGCAAAGTAAATGTACACTTCATCAATTATCCATAGAAATTCTAAGTGTCCTTTTTTTGATTTTGTGTTAAGAGATGGTAAACCATTAGTCATCAGGATTTTTTTTACTAAATTTCACCTGATACATGTCTCAACATCCATTCATGGTTGAGGGTTGCAGAATAAGGTGTGTGATATGAATATGAGAGAATGTAGAAGTGGATATTATGAAGATAAATAGGATAGATAACAATTGACCCTTGGCTTGGAGAAAACAAACTTCCTCCTTACTGGAATACAGAGGAAATGTGAGTGAGTTGACTCAGTGAATGTAGTCCTAGCTATGAATGCCTGAACTCATGGAACTAAAGAATGGGGTGCTCATCAGAACATTTTCTATAGAAATAGCAATAGAGGTAGCAACTGGCTTGCAACATTGTGTCTGAGGGGAAAGAAGCTGTAGAGTGGAAAATAAGTCATCTCCTACAGTACAACATAAACAATTTTGGACTCTATCAAGGCTGAAAAGTGAAGATTGAGCAGCTCCAGGCATAGCATCAGTTTTCTCTATTTTTGGTTTAATTTGATATTAGGATTTTACCTGTATATAATAAATTGATAAAATATTGAATCTTTTTTTCCTTGATTTGAATCTACCTTCTTAAAGAGAAGTTTGTGACAACTTGTAAACTTTGTGGGTTGTCCCACTTGACTTTACTAAAAACAAAACATCACTAGGGGGCGCTCCTTAAGCCTGTAAATTGGTAACGTTATTCTCACTCATTTTCTTTCCTATTTTACAACTCTGGTTATAAGATATAGTTGCACGTAAAAAAAAATGTGTCCCCCTTTGGGGCACATTCATATTCAATGTCTTACTTTGCTCTTGTCACTTTTGTACTCCTTCACACATGTGTCTATCATGTAGGCCTATATAAACACCTTACACACAAACATACATTCTCTAATTTAAATGCTTTATGAAACTAGTCTTTGAATATCTGTCTATATTTCTGAGATGAGGTATTACGTACATTATTTACATTATTCGGACTATTGTCCTCATCTTTGTCGCCATATTTATTACAATGTTTCGGCCGTTGTATGCTCTGGCCTTCTTCAGGTGGTTGGAATGTCGAATGTGAACCTTTTATTTCGCTCACTGGGATAGACTGTTCTAGTTCCATGTGCCATGTTTAATGGATGTCAGCTATCAGTTATCTCCTGTTAATTTCCCTCTGAAAGTTCTCCACTGCCTTAACTGGGTATTGAACTCACACTCTTTGGGTCCTGTCACAGGATCTAACTAACGCCTTTATCCACAGTGCATAAACGTAGAACAGTCTACCGCAGTGAGCAAAATAAATTGTTCAGTTTGACATTCCAACCACCTGAAGAAGGCCAGAGCGTACAATGGCTGAAATGTTGTAATAAATATGGCAACAAAGATGAGGACAATAGTCTGAATAATGTAAATAATGTAGTCTTTAAATGTATTCTTCATTTATTATAATTGTAATAATTTTGTTAATACATGAATTGTCATTTGTTTTATATTGTTTTTTGTCAGTCATTTATTACTTAGACTCACACTGAAATCCACACTAATTGTTACGGGAAAAATATACCAGGAGACACGTGTTTTCTACATAAACACAATAAACATTCCCACAACACCTTACATATGCCTGTCTGCGATTCTGCTTCCAAGGTTTTTTCTTTTACAGCTTCTACTACCAGGCAAGGGAGATGCACAATTACCTCTCAGTATTTTTGCATGTCCCCGATCTTACATGTCCATGACTCTAAAAACATCTTCACATGATGAAGTCTTTCATTGCATGTAATAACAGCGACACTCACCCTTAGCTTGATTACATTCTAGCCTGTCTGTCTGTCAGAGAAACTGTGTCTGTCTGTTTAACTGACTGGCATGTTGACACCCTTCTTGACAATTTACCTTTTTCCCAAGGAGATTTCCTTTTGTCCTTGTTTGAATAAGTTAAGAGAGGTGGCTAATTGTGAAAAACAGCAGGTGATTAAATAGCTGAATTGCTCCAGGCTTACAACAGAATTTAAACTGTTTTTGATGACACATGACGGACAGGGGTA